ATACAATTGATTGTGCATACGATCACACTCTATTGAGAGATGTTTTCATGTTCTTTAAAAGATGGACTGCTGTCATTTGTTTCTACATCCACAATGTAAATCTCACTGCTCTCCATACAATAAAGATATCTGAGTATGTCTTGAAAGAATAACTCACTTCAAATTGTTTTATCATCAATTTAAAAAAAATGATTCAACAATCTATATCCCATGACCGCAAGAACAGAAAATAGCATATGCTTTCCAGAAACAACTGCTTATGTTAGCATGCTTTCTTATTTTTTCTCTTATTTGGTTTGGAAACTAAAGACCTTTTAAATGTAGTTGAGTGAGATTTCTTTTGTTGTATTGCCTATAACAGAATACCAAGAACTTCAGCCATCAGGTGCATTTTTGTAAAGATACCAAACATGGGAAGGAAGTAAAAGAGCCCAGTTGATCCTTCTGATGGACATTGCTGGCCTCTGTCTCGTAGGATAAATAACCATAACAAATGTTTTATAATATTATAATATTTTATAAAATTGGGTCCGCGGACTTGTCTAGGTCTCCCAGTTCCTCAGAGCATTCCAGTTCAATGTCCTTTTGGACATGGATGTGGCCGAGCCAACTAGGCAATTCTCCTCACCTATAGTTGATCAATCTGCTTGCCATTGTATACTTTACTTTCAAAGTCAGCACAGACCACATTGTTTGCCTGAATTCCACATGGAAATGGCTTGGGTTGTTATTTTATTTTTGCCTTTTCCCCAGCCAAAATAATTGGTTGCTTAATTAAACATGGTTTGTTGAATAAGCCAAGATCTGGGACACAGGCATTCAAGCAAAATATTGTTCCTACTGGTGTTCATTTTTTCTTTTTTGCTTCTCTTCATAATCTGGACAAACATATGGCGGGATCTACACTGCCAAAGATTGCAGATTGAACTGCATTATAGGGTAAGTGTGTAGACCCATATCATGCAGTTCACTACAGTTCAAACTGCATTATATAGACCTACATGGACCATATAATGCTGTTCAAACTATGTTAGTATGGATTTAGCATGTTTTACTGCTACTCTTAGCCTTTTTGCTCTTCAAAAACAGTTTTGGCGATGGTGGGAAAGGAAGTAACATGAAAGCTCCCCTCTGGAGATGTTTGGCCATTCAGTAAAGCAAAAGATGTAGTAATGGATTTGTTTAGTAACTTTTAATATTATTGGAAATAATTTTGTACCTTTGTCATTTTATTTACCTTAGGGAATAAATGGTTCCTGACAAGCCATCATTCTATTTACAGGCTTTGAAGCTGCAAGGCCATTCAATACTAATCAAGGTGGACAATTGCAACATTCACACCTGCCTCAAGCAGACAAGAGTTCTTTGTCCCACCCTGGAAATTCCACAGATATATAAACCTCACTTGCTTAGTTTCCAACAGACTTCATAACCTCTGAGGATGCCTGCCATAGATACAGGTGAAACATCAGGAGAGAATGCTTCTGGAACATGGCCATACAGCCTGGAAAACTGCATGTTTTGGTTAAACAGCTAATTTATTAGATAAGCCAACAGTTGCTTGATAATTGGTCTTTTTAAAATCTAAGAATGAATATATTGGCAACCAGGTGAGGTGAGACCAAGGGGCTACATAAACAAGCTTAGCTCACAGAAGGGCACAATGCGCACACTTTGAGGGTAGAGCTGTTAAGTCACCCACAACAAACAGCCACTAATTGAGTGCTGGCTCTTTCATCAGATTCATGCTTTGCTGTTATTTCATTTTTGCCTTTAAAAGATCCCGACAGCAGAGAAATGTTGCAAAATTACAATAGACACTTTGAAGCAAGGTTTACAACTCTGCGCTTCCACTGTGCCAACAGAGAGCTCATTGCTGCGCAAGGGTGACACTTTGATCACACCACTTAAATTTGTGATTCAAAACACAATTTGTAACTGTTGAAATCATGATTATAACATTTACTCTTCCGTGCAAATGCTTTCAAACAATCACCAGAATTACTTCGTTGTTGTGTTCCTCAAATCATTTCAGACTTACAACGACCCTAAAATGAACCTAACACAGGGGATTTTTTTTCTTCAGAAAGGGTTTACCATTGCTTTCCTTTGAGGCTGGAAAAGAATAACCTGCCCATGGTGCCTTTCCATAGCTCACCAGGGATTCAAATTCTCCAGAGTCTATACTGTAGAATAAATGCACTCTGATACCACTTTCGCTGGCATGGCTCAATGCTACAGAATCCTGAGATTTGTGTTAAAACCATACAGGAGAATTTATTTATGTATGTATTTAAGCTTCTCACCCCGAAGCGGTTGCTCCTGACACGACAAAAAAAAAAAAAAAAAAACAACCCTGAAGGGGACTCAGGGTGGATCACAGAATACATATATGGCAAACATTCAAAGCCATTTTATACACTGACAAGACAGACAACAGATAGAGGTATATTTAGGCATTTTCTTATCATTCGGCATCTTTTTGTAGGCTGTGCTTGGGTGCTGTCACTCCATCTCCTTGCTGAAGAGTTTTCTTTGTTCATAAACTTTCCTCCTTTTTTCTGATTGAAGCCCTGTGCCTAAAACACCTCCCCACTTAATGAGATTCCTTTTTTATCTATTCACATTACTGGTTTTGATCTGCTAGGTGGGTGGGGAGCTGGGCTGAAGGTCAGCTCACCCTGACCCAGCTTCAAACTGTCAACCTTTCGGTTGGCAAGATTTACTGCATCTGCAGCTGTTGATTAACCTGCAGTGCTAAAGCCAGCCCAAGAGAAGCAAAATATGTCAATGTTAGAATGACAGGCCCTAATTTCATCAAGATATTATTTTTGTTTTTGTTATTTAAGACCGTCTGTTTGTTTATGCACTGAGTCGCTTCTGACTCTTTGTGACCTCATGGTCCAGCCTACACCAGAGCTCCCTGTTGGCCGTGGCCACCCATCTCCTTCAAGATCAAGCCAGTCACTTCAAGGATAACATCCATCCATCTTGCCCTTGATCTGCCCCTCTTCCTTTGTTCTTCCATTTTTCCCAGCATCATTATCTTCTCTAAGCTTTGCTGTCTTCTCACTGTGTGGCCAAAGTACTTCATTTTTGCCTCTACTATCCTTCCCTCCAATGAGCAGTTGGAAATTCCGATACCAATCCCAACTTGCATACACATTCAAATTAAAGAACAAACCTACAGAATCAATCTTGTTGGTAACTTGGGGACTGCCTGTATTAAGTATAAAAGACTGTGCATTTGGGGGGACACCCTGCATCTAGAAATGCCTTACACCAGCATTTTTCAGCCTGGAACCCCTGGAGGGGGGTCGCGAGGGGGTTTCAGAGGGATTGCCAAAGACCATCAGATACATATATTTCTGCTGGTCGTAGGAACTTCTTTGGCAGGGAAGGCTGAAGATCTCTCCACCTGTCCTTCTCTTCCTTTTTGGAAACAGACAGTGAATCCTCCCACCAAAGGCCCTCCTCTGCTGTGATTGGCCAGCCTCTCAGCCAAGGGGAGGGCTGTTTCTGAGACTCTAAGCTGAGAGGGGAAAGCAGGCATGCTCGGCACATGGCAGCATGGATGTGCATGTATGGTCAAGGGAGAGTGTTTGATGCTGGAGGGAAGTTCATGCCAGTAAGTTCCTTCAAGGCATGGGAGTTCTGTGTGGGAAGTTTGGCCCAATTCTATCGCTGGTGGGGTTCAGAATATTCTTTGATTGTAGACAAACTATAAATCCCAGCAACTACAACTCCAAAATGTGAAGGTTTATTTTCCCCAAACTCCACCACTGTTCCCACTGTTGGGCATATTCAATATTTGTGCTAAGTTTGGCCCAGGTCCATCATTGTTTGAGTCCACAGTGCTCTCTGGAGGTAGGTAAACTACAACTCCAAAACTCAAGGTCAATGCCCACCAAACCCTTCCAGTATTTTCTGTTAGTCTTGGGAGTTCTGTGTGCCAAGTTTGGTTCAATTCCATCACTGGTGGAGTTCAGAATGCTCTTTAATTGTAGGTGAACTATAAATCCCAGCAATTACAATGCCAAATGTTGAGGTCTATTTTCCTCAAACTCCTCCAGTGTTCACATTTGGGCATATTGAGTATCCATGTCAAGTTTGGTCAGGCTGTATCACTCTTTGAGTCCACAGTGCTCTCTGGATGTAGGTGAACTACAACTCCAAAAACTCAAGGTCAATGCCCACCAAACCCTTCCAGTATTTTCTGTTAGTCCATGGGAGTTCTGTGTACCAAGTTTGGTTCATTTCCATCACTGGGGGAGTTCAGAATGCTCTTTGATTGTAGGTGAACTATAAATCCCAGCAACTACAACTCCCAAATGTCAAGGTCTATTTTCCCCCAAACTCCACCAGTGTTCACATTTGGGCATATTGAGTATTTGTGCCAAGTTTGGTCCAGATCCATCATTGTTTGAGTCCACAGTGCTCTCTGGATAGAGGTGAACTACAACTCCAAAACTCAAGGTCAATGCCCACCAAACCCTTCCAGTATTTTCTGTTGGTCATGGGAGATCTGTGTGCCAAGTTTGGTTCAATTCCATCATTGGTGGAGTTCAGAATGCTCTTTGATTGTAGGTGAACTATAAATCCCAGCAACTACACTCCCAAATGACATAATCATTCCCCCTCCCCCAACCCCACCAGTATTCAAATTTGGGCGTATCGGGTATTTGTGTCAAATTTGGTCCAGTGAATGAAAATACATCCTGCATATCGGATATTTACTTTATGGTTCATAACAGTTATGGTTGGGGGTCACCACAACCTGGGGAACTGCATTAAGGAGTCGAAGCATTAGGAAGGATGAGAAATACTGCCTTAGACAGAGAAGAGCCTCCTTTTCGGAAGATGCGGCCCCTGAATGGGCTGTCCCTTGCCCAGGGCTTTGGCCAAGCGGTGCCCTCTCCAGTTGCCCTTCGGGAGGGATGCCAGGCGGCTCCTCCCTCCCTCCCTCCCTCCTTCCCCCTCCTTTGGCGCATCCCTTCTCCGCCCACCGACTGGGAAAGACCCCAAACAGCTCCGGAGCCGGGGCCGCATTCGTCTCTGCCAGAGCTGCTGCTGCTGCCTTGCCTTGCCTCGCCTCGTCTCCAGAAGCCCTCCCTCCATTCAAGGCTTTGCCTGAATGGGAACCTCGGCGTGGCTGCAGGCTCCCTTGGCACTTCTGCCCCAAACCTTAAGGAAGAGGCAGAGGAGAGAGTGACTCCAAAGACAGAGAGAGTTCATGCTGGACCTCTTGCTTGAAGCCCAGGCGTGCCAGGGAGCATCCAGTTGCCATCGGAGGTAAGGCTGAGCTGGTGAGCTTTCTTCAGCACCCCAGAACCCAGAGAAAGGGGCGGAGGATGTGGAAAGGGGGTTGTTGATGTTATTGTTGTTGTGGATGATGATGATGTGTTATTATTATTCCTCCAACCCGGCTACCCTTGGAGGAATGGGATTTTCAAAGTTGTGTTGTCCAAGACTTTCATGCCGGAATCACTAGGTTGCTGTGAGTTTTCTGAACTTTATGGCCATGTTCCAGAAGCATTCTCTCCTGACGTTTCGCCCACATCTATGGCAAGCATCCTCAGTGATTGTGAGGTCTGTTGGAAACTAGGAAAATGAGGTTTATATAACTGTGTGATGTCCAGGGTAGGAGAAAGAACTCTTCTCTGCTTGAGCCAAGTGTGAATGTTGTAATTGATTGGCATTAAATAGCCTTGCAGCTTCCAAGTCTGGATGCTTCCTGCCTGGGGGAATCCTAAATTGGGGGTGATTAGCTGCCCCTGATTGTTTCAAAGTTCCTTTAGAATTGCGCCTTGATGCAAACTCATTGGGGGGTATATTGCCTCCAGTGAGGCTTTTCACATCTGCATGGGTTTGAGAAACACTGCCATACACAGACAGGAGAGCTGAAATAGCAAGATGCATTGGGGAGAATGGAGAATATCCAACATTTCTTTGATGCTGCAAAGTGGAAAAGAAATTAGGGGGCAATTGGATGCACCTTTCACTTTATATTTAATGGCATGCAGTTGCATCAAAGCAGGGTATCTACACCGTGGAATAAATGCAGTTTGACATCACTTTAACTACCACTGGACTTCTAGGAGTTGGAGTTTTACAGGATCTTTAACCTTCTTTGCCAAAGGATCCTGGTGCCTCACCAAACTACAACTCCCATGATACCATTGCATTGAGCCCTGGCAGTTATAGTGGTGCTAAACTGCATTCATCTGACAGCACAAGTGCACCCTAAATTTGATGTTAATCATAGAATCCTAGAGTTGGAAGAGACCACATGGGCCATCCAGTCCAATCCCCTGCTATGCAGGAAATGCACAATCAAAACACCCCTGACAGATGGCCATCCAGCCTCTGTTTAAAAGTCTCCAAAGAATGAGCTGAATGGGGAAATGTTTGGGGATCGCCTGGAATAATAAACTGCATAAATTTGGGAAAGCAATAGTGTGAATATTCTCTCAGATGTGCCTACTACTATGTGCATGGGAGGATAAAGTTAAAAAAAAAACCTTTGGTTTTGCCCAACTGGCACACAGAGTCAGCCTTGAGCGGAGAGCCTGCTGAGCTCCTGTACAGATCTGTGAGTGTGAGAGATTTCTCTGCTCTGCACGACAGCCAACTTTTACATTCAGAACCAGCCATGCCTTTCCTTTTTGGAAAACTGACACTAATTTTATCCAGATTGCCTCTTCCAGCACTGACGGGGCTGTGTGTTGGAATCACAAAAGTCCCTTGACTTGGGTTACTTATTTAGTTTTCAGCTCTCAGAAGCCTTGTTTAAATAAATGAAACGTGCTCAAAAGAAAGAGGGAAGAAAGTTGAAAGGGGTGGGAGGGACCTTGAACCCCAAAGTGTGGGGAAACTGAAATTTTGAAAGAAAAAGACAAAGGGATTTTGATCAGTCTCTAATAGAGAGTGAGTTTGTGGCTATGGCTCTCCACCAGAACTTTAGGCTTTGGTTTATATGTCATTTGCTTAGTTCAAAGAATGAGGAGCAGAACAAATAGATGAAATGTCAAAGCCAATTTCCAGCTTCTTCGCACCTATCTGGCTAGGGAACTTCTGTATTCTTGGAGCTAAGGTGTTGATACTTGGGGAGGGGTTATGCAGTCCTTGAAGTCATAGGCCCCTTCTATGTTGTTGTTCATTCGTTCAGTCGTCTCCGACTCTTCGTGACCTCATGGACCAGCCCACGCCAGAGCTCCCTGTCGGCTGTCACCACCCCCAGCTCCTTCAAGATCAGTCCAGTCACTTCAAGGATGCCATCCATCCATCTTGCCCTTGGTCGGCCCCTCTTCCTTTTACCTTCCACCTTCCCCAAGAAGCTGGTCACTTGGAGTGCTTCTGGTGTCGCTGTAAGAAGGTCCTCCATTGTGCATGTGGCAGGGCTCAGGTTGCATTGTAATAGGTTGTCTGTATTGCCCCTTTCCACATTTGCATGTTGTGGACTCCACTTTGAAGCCCCATTTTTTAAAGTTAGCTCTGCATCTCATGGTGCCAGAGCGCAGTCTGTTCAGTGCCTTCCAAGTCGCCCAGCCTTCTGTATGCCCAGGAGGGAGTTTCTCATCCGGTCTCAGCCACTGATTGAGGTTCCGGGTTTTAGCCTGCCACTTTTGGACTCTTGCTTGCTGATGTGTTACTGTAAGTAGTTTTGTAGATCTTAAGACGCTGTTTCTGTAAGTTGTTGGCATGCTGGCTGATATCCAAACAGACAATGGGCTAGAGATGTCAATGCCTTAGTCCATTCATTATTGGCTGTTACTTCCTGACAGATGTCAGGTGGTGCAATACCGGCTAAACAGTATAATTTCTCCAGTGGTGTAGGGCAGCATGTCTCATGTTTTAACATGGTGAGATGTATTCCATACTTGGCAGGCGTACTCAGCAGCAGAATAGCAAAGCGTAAGGGGTGATGTCTCCACTGTGTCTGGTTGTGATCCCCAGGTTGTGCCAGTCAGCTTTTGTATGATATTGTTTTTAGCGCCCACTCTTTGCTTGATATTCAAACAGTGCTTTTTATAGGTCAGAGCATGGTCCAGAGTGACTCCCAGGTATTTGGGTGTGCTGCAATGCTCCAGTGGGATTATTTCCCAGGTAATTCTCAGAGCTTGAGATGCTTGTATCTTCTTAAGGTTAAAAGCACATGTCTGCATTTTAGATGGATTAGGTATCAGCTGGTTTTTCCTGTAGTAGGCAGTAAGAGCATCTAAAGCTTCGGAGAGCTTGGGCAGTGATGGCATGATTGTCAGCATAGATAAAACTCTCTGTCCCTTCTGACAGTGGCTGATCATTTGTGTAAATGTTAAACGCTGATGAAGCAAGCATGCTTTCCTGAGGCAGACTGTTCTTCTGTTCTCACCATTGCTTCTCTGACACTGGAACTTGGCAAAAAAGCTCCTGTTTTGTAGCAGATTTCCTATGAAGAGGGTGAGGTGGTAATCCTTTGTGATGTCAAAGGCTTTCATGGCCACAATCACTGGGTTATTGTAGGTTTTTCGGGCTATATGGCCATATTCTAGAAGCATTCTCTCCTGATGTTTTGCCTACATCTGTGGCAGGCATCCTCAGAGGTTGTGAGGCCTCACAACCACTGAGGATGCCTGTCAGGAGAGAATTATACATTTTTTCAGGACTTATGCTGGTCCTAAGACAGGATGGCCATAAGTCTTAGGGTTTTCCCCGGCAAGATTTGCTCAGAGACAATTTGCCTTCCTCTGAGGCTAAGAGGATGTGACTTGCCTAAGGCCGCCCAGAAGGTTTCCATGGCTGACCTGGTCTCCAGAGTCCAACACTTAAGCTAGTATACCACATTTGCTCCAATAAATAAATAAATAAATCAGCAGCTATGAATTATTATTTTGCTTTTTAAATGGAGACTATAGCAGACCTTGATTTATTTATTTATTTATTTCCGTCACTTTTACCCCGCCCTTCTCACCCCCAGGGGGGGACTCAGGGCGGCTTACAGAGGAAGGCACAATTCGATGCCTTTGTCACATATACATACATATATAAACAAATTAAACAGTTACAAATTAAAAATTAAAATCATCAATACACAACAATACAATAACACAATAGTAGACTAATCCTGAGCTCAGCGTTCGGAGTTTCGTAAATCCATTCCATGGAAAGGCTTAGAAGGGAACGTGATTTAGTAACTTGTCAAAGGTGTGCTTTGGAGACTTCACAGGTCTTTCTTGCATTGCAAAGTGTAAGGGGATGAGTGCTGACAGCCCTAACCTTAAGGACTCAGTCAAGTCATCATCAGTCACAGAGAAAGAAAGAAAAACCCAGCTAGGTTTATTTATTTATTTGACTAAGCATAAATCTGTCTCTTCTTGCAGCCCTTTCAAACTTTGTTTTGGAGGGCTAGGGGAGGAAAAGTGGAAATTTGTCTTCCTTTGTGAGCCACCAATCAATCATAGAGTGAGAGTGTAGTCACCATTAACTCCCCTTTAACCTTTGGGTTGCATTCTCCCACACTTGTAATGGGGACATGGATGACTCATGCACAAAGCTCCCAGGACTCATGGGCAGCTTGTGAGCTGCTATTTTGAAAACACACCACTCTATTGTACAGAGAATATAAGTGTAGGAGGAGGGAAAAATTGAATTGGCTTATAAAATCCTGAATTTTTTTTCTCCAAAATATCCTGGAAACTCTTAACAAGCACACCTTGAAACTGCAACATTTAATGCTTCCCTTACCACTTTCATCACTGAAACTAAATTTAGCAAATTTGACAAAAGTGTAAGTATCAGATAATACTGTTTCTTCTAAATAACTATGGTTAGATCCAGAACAGAGCCATTGAATGAATTAATCCATGTTGGGTCAACAGCTAGATAAATTCAACTCATTCAGTGGGTTTACTCTATTCGGGAGTAACAAATTGTCTTTGGAATGATGGAAAGGATTGTAACTCATTGGAGTAAATGGGGGAATTGGTGTTTAATGGGACTGCAGAAGTCTGAAAACTCTAGAGTTACACTTTTGCAGTAAGAGCTCAACATATTTAGGCTACTGGACGAAGACCAAGGAAAGCAAAGTTTTCAGATCCAAAGATGGACTTGGTTTGTTGAGTCATTTCCAATGTGTTGTTGAAGGCTTTCATGGCTGGAATCACTGGGTTGCTATGATTTTCCCAGGCTATGTTCCAGAAGCATTCTCTCCTGATGTTTCACCCACATCTATGGCAAGCATTCTCAGAGGCTGTGAGGCCTGTTGGAGACTAGGCAAGTCAGGTTTATATATCTGTGGAATGTCCAGGCAAGAA